TGACCAACAACAGAACAGGAGTTCTAGTCCCAGCGTTGACACCACATTATTCCCCCCATTCCCTTTAACTCATGAATAGTTTTCAGTGTCCTACACTACCCAATTTGTGTCCCTGGACTCTTAGAATACGATACTTTCATTCACGCATAGATGGCAGTACCATAAATCTGCTTAGCACAAAAAAGTCTAGCATTTCCGATCTCTTACGATAGATGAAACAATCAGATAAACTAATTAAACCACATTCCGCTGCTCATTTGATAAAACACAACTCAACTACAACCAACTCCAACGCCCATTAACTAACAAAAATTTTAGCTCCTATGTCCAGTTAAATATCTTTTTTACGGTTTTGAAAGCATACTAGATGTAAATGGTTCAAAAACAGCCTAATTTTGTATTCATGTTTTTGAACCACACTAGTTGTAAACGGTTTCACAACCGAAGTGGTAAAAAGCTTTCTTTACCGTAAACTTTAAGGTTAATTGAATGAATAGATTGCTGCCGGTAATTTTACCTTAATTTTGGAATGAAAATTCCAACAGTGCATCATAAGGCACTTACGTTGTTTTCAGAATTACACGGCAGCATACCACAACTGTTTAATGCACAAAAAACATCAAATTTTCACAATAAATGTCTCTTAAAATATTCAGACATCAGTTTTTCAATCCAAAATCAGTAACAAGGAGATTACATGCTCAAAATCTATTTAATGATAGGTTTTCATCATAAAAAATACAACACACTTAAAAATAGCTGCATTATTTCTATTTTTAGAATTATAACATGCCATCTTTCTCGTAGAAACTCCAACTTCACATTTCTAATGATAGCCGTCAAACATTTTGAGTATACTGTCCACGATATAATCGAAATTCGTTTCAAATAAAGGTAAAAAGCTAGTCCTTTTGAATACCAAAATACGGAAAACACGAATGTTTCTTTCAGTATTTGGCGAAATAATGACTCGCTTTTGTTGTTTGAGTACTGGCTTAGATAAAAGGCTTCTTTTTAAAAAAGAATTCTGTATTAGAATAGTTATTTTTAACTGAAACTTTTTATTTCTCTTCAAATAGTAGTTTTTTCGTTTTGCTTTAATGCAGGGTTTATTTGATTTATACTTCAAATTACTAATCGATTCATGACACTCGCAACTTAGATCTAACATTTTCTACTTGGCTCTATTTATAAACTTTTACTTTCATCAAAAAACCATTAATTTCTTTCATATCATTAATCCTATCTTTATTTCTAATAAAATATTCTATTTGTAGAAGTTTTCTTATGGATTAATTTGAAATTTAGTTGATCAATAGTTTAGTTGTTTCGATTAACATTTATACATCATTATTACGCGTAAACAACACTTAAAAAAAGTCTAGTTTGATTTGTGTTGATTTGATAAAAGGTTGATTTGATTAGCATTTGATTAGTGTTTGATTTGATTAGGTTCATACCGGAAAATTGCATTACTCAAATTACAAAAATAGATTTAGGTTATACTCGGAAGTCGGGAATCATATTGATTTTTTGGTACATAAATAATTTGAAGCATAGCATAAGCATTGGAAATTTTTTTATTGATTTAAATTTTGTTTGATAAAAACTGTACATAACTTGCTTTAGAGCAGTGCATGTACACTAAACATGACTGCATGATACAGAGCTTGTTAGTTTTGGAAATGAATTTGGTGTTCTCTAAGCATCACCCTTCACATTTGTTTTTAGCCTCTTTGTCTAAAATGAATGAATTATAACCCAATTAATGGGAGCTCCAAAAGTTTAAGGCTTTAATGTCCATTTTAAACATAACGGATTTGTAATTAACGTGTGAGTCTGTCGGCGGCATAAACAGACATGACTGAGAGTGAAAGGAAGGGTTTTAAAAAACTATATTTTAATCGATAGTTGGATTAATCTGGGATAGTTTTTAAATAAGTTTGCTGATTTTTGTGAGGAAATTAAAGCACCTTGCAGATTCATGTTGCATTCAAGAAAAACAAGGTAAAAGATGTAAAAAAAAAGTTAACTTGTTATTTTCAGGGGCCCTTAATTACAGTTAGGGTGTTTTGAAAACGGTTATGATTAAAATGAAAATAATTCTTGGAGAAAATGGGATAGAGCATGGATATTTCTCTAAAAGTCCTTGTTTCTAGTTCACATTTTGTGATACAGATGGCGCTGTAAAACCTGCAAATTAAAAAAAAAAGAACTAAATATCACATCATAATTTTTTGAAATTTTTTAATGAATAGAAATCACATTACAGTATTTTTAAAATGGCCACTATAAGTCACAATCTCCGTAATCGGAGAACGGGATCTTTATAAATGCAAAATGCAACGAAAACAACGCTAAAAGGGACTTACAGCGCCATATGCCGGATAAGTTTTGAACTAAAAATAAGAATTCTGCGAATAAACTTTTATGCCTTGTCACAGAATTCATTGCAAGCATTGCATTTAAATCTCTTTTTCCGCAATAAATTTTCTAAAAACCGTCAGTGTAGTTTATAATAACCTGTATGTTAACTACTGTAAATATATAGTTTTTATGATAACGATTAAGGAATAATGAAGAATGCACGTAATTTGTTTGAATAAACTAAATTTTATCGCTTGTTATCTAAACAATGTAGGATTTCTGGTCTATATATGTCTGCTCGGTTATTTATATACATTAATCCAATATGGCTTATATCTTAAGGATATTTTGGAAGACTCTGCTGTCTTTTACGCTTTTTGAAATATGCTATTTTCATAGTTGCTGTGGATTTGCAAGAGCTATTCATGACATTTAGGTTAAGTTGAGCTTATCTGTGGCCAGCGCCCTCAATGCTTATTTTGAAAATGGCGCAGAAGAATGGTCACATTTATGTTTCTGATCTAATTAAAGCGTTTTTAATCCATTTTTTATGTTTAAAAAGTAAATCGAAGGCTGAATTATCTGCCCTCATAAAAGCTTACAAAGAATGAAAAATTCTTCCGGAATTTTTTTGTTGCTTTTTTCTGTTGCATGAAATTTTTTTAAACTAATCTTGGATATTTTCATAGTTGTTATATAATCGTTGTTGCACATTGTTTCATACATCGTTGCAGCACATAAAATAAATATTAAGAATAACAACAAAAAGCGAAAAAACAAAAAGAAAAACAACATAAAAAGTTAAAATGAAAATTATAACGACAGCTGGAAACAGCAAAAGTATATAATTTATAAATTGGGATTTAGCTGAATGCTTTTAACTGAACTGATTGAAATGACTGGTAAAAAGTAAGATAGTAAATTTTATTTGTATCTAGTTTGATAAGTGTTGATTTGATGTGTGCATGATTTGATTAGCGTTTAATTAGATTAGTGTTTAATTAGATTAGTGTTTGATTTGATTAGGTTCAAACAGAAACTGTTGTGTGAGATTTTTTAACAGACCTTGGATATTTTCAGCGGTATTACATATAATTAACACATATAACAAAATATTAAGAATAACAACAAAAAGCAAAAAAACATAACAAAGTTAAAATAAGAAATATAACTATAACTGGAAGCAAGAAAAGTATATAATTTATTAACTGTGACTTAACTGAATGCTTTTAACTGAACTAATTGAAATGACTGGTAAAAAGTAAGATAATTAAATTTAATTTGTGTTCAGTTTGATTAGTGTTGATTTGATAAGTGTTTGGTTTGATTAGTGTTTGATTAGATTAGCGTTTAATTTGATTAGTGTTTGATTTGATTAGGTTTAAGCAGGAACTGTTGTGTAAGATTGCATTACTCACAAAAATGCTTCAGGTGTTACTCGCTAGATGGCAATCATATTGATTTTTTTTTGTGCGCGAATATTTTATAGCATAACATAAGCATTGAAAAAATTTGTATTGAATGATATATTGATTCATTCCTCTACGATAATTCTAAAAACGGAGCTGAAGAAAGGCTACAGCTTTGTTTTTGATCTAATTCAATTATTTTTGATCTAATTCTTTTTCATATATAAAAAAGTTAATCTAGTGTTGGATTATTGGGACTTACAAAAAATAAGAATTGTACTGGGGAACAAATTTTTTTCCTCTGTTGTATGAGATTTTTTTTGTAAGTCTCGATATATAATAGCTGCATTAA